CAGGGTGTGGGAGAGGGAATACCCGTCTTGACTGATAGAAGTGTTTTGTTATTTCTTTGAACGTAAGTAAGGGTTCCCAGTGAGGCAGAGGGACCATGGAGGCGGTGCGATCAGTGAGTCCTCGCGGGGCCTCGTGTGCGCTCTCGTTCGGGTTAGAGGTACAGCCCTCAATCGAACCCAGGTGAGCGGGAAACTAAGTGAGAGAATGGGGCGTGATACTCTTGACGCTTTGGAGAATGCGGAGGGCCTTAGGGGCCCCATCCTGGTTCTGTAGGCTTTGATAGCCGTCTTGGAGTCACTGTATAGTGACTCTCTGCGACTATCTAGCATAGCGACGCTCTTTCACCCTCTGAATGTGTGCGGCAGGTGTGCCAGCACGGGTGTGGCGGCTGTGCGGCTAGCACATGGAACGGCCCTGCGATCTAGTGAGCATTGTTAGAATTAACGCCTTGAGCGGCGACTGAGGAGTGTACACCGGCAACATTGGCGCAAACGCCAGCTGCCTACATCGCCACCGGACAAGGTGCAGGCATTAAAAGCTTGCCGACCAAGCTCCTGAAAAACCTGGCGTTTTAGCAATGTGGTAGAACACCTAATAACCTTGGCTTCAGTTTCCACTCGAACTGAAGTGTTATATAGTTGCACCTATTAGATGCGGAGCATCTTATACTCGCGCCTTGTAGTGCGCCGTCCGCGCCGTCCGCGCCGTCCGCACCGCTTCTCGAACATTCGACAGCTGACGCGCGCGCATGCGCCGTCGCGCCGTCGCCCACTCTTCCACCATCTGTGCATCCCTTCCTCCTCTACACACCGCGCGCGCTTCACTCCTCTACCATCTGTGCACCCTTCCTCCTCTACACACCGCGTTCGACATCTACAATTCTCCTGATTCTCCAGTGGACGCGCATGTGGCGTCGCGCTTCGAGAACATTCAACAGCTGACAGTGCATGCGCCGTCGTGCTGTATATATACTCAAGGTCGGCGCTCGCTCGCTCAGTTGCCGCTCGTCGGTTGGTTTGTACGGCGCGTCGACGTCCAAGGTCGCGGTGAAATGAATTCCAACGAATCCACAAACACAATGATCGACGTCCCTTCGACCAGCGCCGCTCTTTCGCATACGTGTGTACGTGTTCACTCATTTAACACCCCCTCCTACAACCACGTTAACCAATTTAGCCATCGACCCAAGTAAGTCGCAATTTAACACCCCATTTCACAACCACGTTAACGAATTTAGCCATCGACCCAAGTAAGTCGCACTTTAACACCCCGTTAACCAATTATATGGTCCGCATCCTCCTCAGTGTTCCCCCGAGGGAAGCTGCGGGCAATTTTTTTAAGTTTTGTCTCACGAACGAAGCTGCCATTTTGTTCAGAAACAACCACGTCAACTCCATTAAAGAAACGTCTATGAAGTGAGCTCGCTGACGTTGCCTCTCTAAAAGAAGCCTTGCACGACTGCTAGCTTCATCAAGCGATAGAATTAAGAGCTTCGCAGGGTGAAGATAGAATAGCACTGTGGTATAAAAATGGCTGTGCTGATTCGAGATCACCGGGAGAAGCCGCTGCCCTGCAGTGGACATGAACACTCTCTTAGAATGGTGGTGATGACAATGTGCATTGGATTATGCAAATGTGCAAGTACATGTTTCAACACGTTTAAAAAATGAGGAAACTCTATGACTGTTACTAATGCAAAATGGAAGTGCAGCCTGCCCGTGTTTGAATTGGGTAATTTTGGCAAAATATTCATTGGAATTTATTCAGTTTATATGCTATTTTTCTTTATATGATATTTTATATTACGGTATGTTCAACTTTGTTCACGTCCTGAAGATCAACCTTTAGTTTCACTTAGGTGGCTCCCACGTTTGAATAGTTAGGTTCAGCCTTACCGCATATCATAGGCTGTCTTGGCGGCCAGTACCTTTTGTGAAGGATCCCCACTGTGAAGGAATTTTTGCCACCAGTTTCTTTCCTTGTCAAAGTCTGTGAAAGCTATAGTGCTCTGCCACAGCACATACTGTATAGTAGTGCTGATTTTACAATTTTTGAATTTGAATTACACCTTTCGTTCTGGATAGGTTTCAAAAATCCTTTGTGATTGTGTATCTTTTTGTTTTCTAGTTGTGTGAACTGAACTGCGTTTAGACATAACGCTTTTTGGGCATATTTAAAGTAATAATTGCCATTTCGGTTACTTTTCACTTTTTCTCTATTTTTGGTTATTTGATGTCTTTGTAATTTTGTGTTTAAGGGCATCGAGACAGATTTGAAAAAAAAAAACACTGGGTGGTCTTAGGCGCATTAGTGCTGGAACACTTCATTCTACTCGTTCACTCGGCTACAGCAATGTACAGTGAACTACAAAAGATTGCCGACCACGTGAGCGCGTGCCAAACTGCCTGTTCGCGCCATTCACCGTCGACTGCAGTCCTAGGCTGGAAACGGCTTTATTCTTTTCCACTAGCCTTTCGACTTTCTACTGCCGCGTAGCGCATTGTTAGTTCGCAGTGTTCCAGCGGAGCGCATATCTGCAGCACGACTGTCACATTTGTCTCTTCATAGTGTGGTGAAAACATTCACAGCCTGCCTCAAACACATATGCCCCCCCCCCCCCCCAAAAGAAGACGCATCGCGTTAGAAAGTGAAATGTGAAGAATATTTGTACCCAGTCAGAAAAAAATACAGACCAAAGATTAAGAGGGGGGGGGGGAATATAGCTGCTTAGGCGCTGTGGTGCTGTCGATCACAGTTGATGTAGCGGAAGTGTCGCGAAGAGGCTTTTGTCCACGCGCTCCCGTAGTCCGTAAACTTCTTGTGGTTGACTGTAGGTACAACGAAGGATGACGTTCAAGACTGGCACGAGTTCCTTAAAGGAACACCAAAGCACTTTCAAAATAATACAAGGTTGTGGTGTCATGATACGTAATATTGTGCGGCGAACTCGAGTATGCAGACGAAAATTTGCATAACCAAAAGCAGATAACTTTATTTTACCGAAAACTAGCAACAGGCGCCTCACCCAGAATCACGACTTTCGCCGCCACATGTGATTGGTCTCAGCTCCATGACGTCACGTTCGGAAAGGTGAGGTCAGCAGACTGCGCTCGCCGGCAGTCGAAGCCGCGCTTATCTGTTGAAATCGGGTAGTTGCAGTTAGTATGGCGAACTGTGGAAGTTACGACGAGTTGGCTGTACGACCGTGCATATTCGAGCTGGTCGCCACTGCAAGAGCGACAACCGAATGCGATGGCAGCCACAATGATGCGGCACAGGAAAGGTATTCCCAGCCAGCTGCCTTCCGCTGCGTCGGAAACATAGACTGGTGCGTATGAGATGCATGTCGCTGCCTCATTTCACTGTAGCAAGCTGATACAAATGATACGTTCAACCGTGGATATTATTATTATTTAAAAATACTGCCAATCCCTTGTCGGGATTTTCGCAGAAAGGACATCGGGAAAACACACAATAAAGCACACAATAAAAACATCCGTAAGTTCTACATCGTTTAGGATACGCGTTACATTGATGCTACCAAGTTCTCGCAATTTCTAACAATCAAATTCAAACAAATTCTAACCAAATTCTAACAACAAAGTTCTAACAGTAATTGTACTATATCCAAATGATTACAGTGTGGAAGAGTCAAAATAACACAGTCTAAAACAATGGATTAAATTCTATTAGGAATAGCAAGCAGCATCGGTCCTCGCTTTTAGTCGCGTATTGGCCCGGTCCACGCTACGCACGCGCATCGGGCGGAAACATCTGATGTTCGCGAATTTAACTGCTTAAACTGAAGCGTTATTGATGCAATCAGTATCCAACTTCGCAGCGGGCAAGAAGCATGCTATGAGTGAGTGTGTTACTGCGAAAAAAATACACACAAGGGTCGCTCTTTGCCGCAGTGGTGACATGTGCTTTAAAGTGCACTGCAAGCTGGTACTTGAATAGTAGGCTGACATATGTTGCAGTTATGTTTACAATACAGTCGCTTTCTCTAACTTATGGTCAGTACCACAGTGATGGTGTGGTAAAATGCAAGCGGTATATTAGACATACATTTGGTATGTGTTATAGCTCCTTTTATGCGCGATGATTTACTCCGTTTAACTGCCGTGTTTGTACGCCTCTCTAGTTGTCACAGGCCAAAATTTGACCTCGTGAAGAAGAACAAGAAGCTGCTGCTATAGCTCAAGAACCTCAACAACCAGATGTGGTGTGTTTTCGTTATTTTCATTTTTTCTCAAAACACGTTTGCAATGACTCCAACTTAGTCCACTTTTGTCATCCATGATCTGAATGTAACATGCACCACCTCGGTGGTCTAGTTGCTAGTGTACTCGGCTGCTGACCCCCCAGGTCGTGGGATAAAATCCCGGTGGTGGCGGCTGCATTTTTGGTGGTGGCGAAAATGCTCTAGGCCCGTGTGCTCAGATTTGGGTGCACGTTAGGGACCCCCAGGTGGTAAAAATTTCCACAGCCCTTCACTACGGCATCTCCTATAACCATATGATGGTTTTAAGACGTTAAACCCCACATATCAATCAATCAATCAATCAATCAATCAATCATTCAATCAATAAAATCATTCTTTTTGAACTAAACGTCCGCGAACGCCTCATTAACATCTTATGTAAATTATACTGTGCATAGCATGCGCGTCATGATTTGATTGCTCGGACCTGTCTCTTAACTTTATCATACACTTTTGTGACGCCATACCAATTTCGGTATTTATAAACTTTACAATATGGGCGCAAGAGCACCAAGGTCATAGCATGTGAATCTATGTCATTCATGACAGGTATAGATAGTTTTTCCAAACGGCGAAGAAACGGCGGCACAAAATGAGACTACGCAAAACAAGCACTGACTTCAAACAGGACTTTATTGCGCGAACATAAAATATACAGAGAGAAAAAGATGAATGAAGGCACTTGATAAACATTGATAAACTGGATGGACGGTGAGCTAGCGCAAGAACGACCACGCTTGATAATAGTGAATTATGCTTCAACGAGCTCGCTCGTGCGCCCATCTGAATGTTTTCTGATGACGGTGACGTGAGTGAAATGTGGTGCGCGATTACGCAATCTGCATTTTAGTGCCATGTTGCTGCCTTGCTTTTGCCCGAAAATGCTGGCATGTCCTCTGAGGCTATCACTAAGGCAGCGTACAGTTTGTCTTGCGTAGGAGCGGCTGCAGATTGAAGGAATGCGATTAACTACTCTCTTGATGCAAGTAGTAACAGGTCTCTGGTATTTCTTTTGGCATGCTTTCTAGGACGGTTTATCTTGATTGAGCTTCTGCAGAGGCTTTCAGCTTTTTTGAAGTCGAGAAGACAACTGACATTCGCGCCCTGTCTGCCTCCTTTTTTAATCTGTGGGACACTCCACGCACCTAAGGAAAGACAGTGAGCTTCGATTTGTCAATCTGAGTGGACCTACTGACTCCTCGAATCTGGCCGTGGCCAATTTTTACGCGCAAAAAATAATTTTTTTTGATGGCAGCCAAGCACCCTAAAACAGTATTTCCAGTTAGTAGATGGGTTTAACACTGTTGCGTTCACATGAGCAGTTATTTGGTTTTAACAATATTATTGTGTGTAATCACCATACACAGTAAGTAACTACCCCTATAACCGAATTAACCGAATTTCGGCAAAGTCAAAATGCCACACTAGGTTTCCCGTCAAGTTCTACTTATTTTATTACGTATATTGAGCCCTGAATATTGAACATGACACATATAGTACAAGTAAGTTCTGCTTATCACTCTCATCAGTAGCAATGTTTCTGTGGCACATCTCTTAACAGCAAAAATGAATTGTATACATAAACTAGCGGAGGCACTTTTCTGCGTAGGTTGACTGATTCTGAAAGTAACCACGGTTTTTAAGTATGTCTTGGCAATACGGATGGTACACCATTCTTCCCTTGCTCTCTCGTTTTCGGTATTGCTTGATACACTTGTGGTCAGGCACAGCTTTTATTGACGAGTTCCAAACGAGAAGGTCATATATGTGTTTGTGACCTAGAAAAGAAAGTATTCATTTGGCATTTGAAGTACATCTGAAGAGAACATTACGAACACTCAGGTGTGCGAGAGTAAAACTCAGTAGAAGCCTTCTCAATGAAAAGAAAAATAAGGGATATAAACTCCCAATATTGCGACCACAAGCGTTGTTCTCGTTAGGGCCTCACCTGCCTTAGGCAAGCTCTTTTGGTGCACGCTACCTATTTAAGAGCCGCAACAGCGCACTTGAATCATACAGATGCGAGTGCTAGGACGCAGTCTACCGGCAGCTGTGACAAAACGGCTCGCACGCATATATCTTAGTGCTGTGTTCTCTCCGTTTTGTGTGTCGAGGAAAGACTCCACGAAAACCACTGCTTCACCAGGCGTGTCCGTCTTCCCTTACCACCACGTTTAATATAGTTACGGTAGACCGAATCTAAGAAAGTTAGACTGTGCCATTGCTTCGTATAAAGGTACAACTTCCTGCTATCGCGTTCCTTGAGTAACCATTGCGGCAAATTTCATCTTTAAATGTAATAAATTTCCTAGTGGACAGCAGGCACTCTGAGCGTTTCTACCTACGTATCCACCTGTCTTTCTAGCCGCATACGTCTTGGTACTTTAGTGATTATCTACTTCACTTGGAGTAGACCAAAATTGGTATGGGAAGAAAAAAGCGTGTGACGCACTTGTCTGACTGGTCATGACATGAATAACGTGAAAATCTTATCACATACGCTGTGAAAGCACTCTACCGCAAAGAAACGCCAGGTCACAAACCTGCGCAAAAGGCCCTATAGAGGCGTAATGTAGGTGAAACAAAAATGGTGATTGCAGTGCTGGCTCTTTAATGTTAGGAACATTACGCGTATGCCCTTGTGATAAAGGTGTCACGTCAGGTTAAAGTAAGTTGTAGCTGAGCGTAATTGACTGAAGATGGTTTCCATATTAGCACTTGTTATGGGTAACATGGTAGCAAGCACAAGTGCTTTTTGTCCGCTTACTGATTCTCATGTTGGTAATACCCACGTTGCTGTTAGTCTCATAGCGCGACCGCATACAACAGGTTATATGAAGCAATACTGTTCAACGTATGTATACGTTGTCTCTTCACACGCTTTGCATAATATTTATTACAATGGTACATCGTATCTGCTAATATTTTGTAGAAGGCTCGCAAATATCTTGCCTTGTTACCTCCAAAAAAATTGATTATGTTCACACATGCGTCCAGAAAGTTCATCACTCTTCCTGTGAATGTTTTGATATATACGGAGAGCAGCATTGGTTTGGAACTCACCACAGAACTTCGTCGTCACTTGAATAACTGCACAAGAGTACGCATGGCTTGCGTAGACAATCTTTTCTTGCAAATAATAACCACCTAAAGCACCAAACAAGCTCAGTTAGGAATTTTGGGCTTGCATATAAGAACCTGACGGCCTTAGTGGGGCGGATTTTTTATGTGCTATTTTGTGCTGCTATCAATGCCACGTTAGTTCCTTCTTTATTAGAACATGCGTATATCCGTGGTTTTAGCGGCCACAACGTCATTCATACAACATTTCCTTGCAACATCTTAAAAAGCAAGAAATCTAAAAAAGTTCTCACGCTATACGATACAGCCGATTATTCCAGCATCAACCGTGAACTTTCTGTTTTTCACGAGAAACTTGCCCTTACACATCGGCACCATTAAACTGAGAGCAATTGGATACTATTCAAAGCCGAAATGCTGCGTTTAATGAATATTTACACCCCAACTATCACTATAAATAAAAAGCGCGTTTCCCCTTGTTAAACAAGATTTTAAAAGGCCTTAATAATAATAAAAAAACGATTATTTTGAGTTGCTGAACGAACTGGTTCATCCTCGGCCTGGCAAAAGCATAATGACGTCGTTAAAAAGTACAACTAATTAAAAGCACGCTCCAAGCGGACTACTATTCCACTACCATACCAAATATGCTGCAGTCTAACCCGTGGTGTTTTTGGAAAGTGATTAAGTCTGATAATAAAAGTGCCATTTCACTATGTGATAACACGAGGACACTCATTGCTCATTTCGAAGTTCCCGACGCACTGAATCTAGCGTTTTGTTCAGTGTTCACAAAAGAAAGTACAGATGCATTACCACACTTTCCATATTTGAATTTTCCCCCAATGGAGGATATTGAATTCAGGGCAGAGGGCATTGTTAAGGTCATTGACTCCCTGAAGTGCTCTTCGTCCTGCGGTATTGACGGAATCAACGCGAAAGTACTAAAAAGTGCGAAATATGCGTGCAGTGCGATTCTTTGTATTATTTTTCAGCACTCACTTGACACAGGTACAGTGCCAGATGACATGAGGACAAGGAAGGTCATTCCAGACTTCAAAAAAGATGACCAGTCGTGCCCTGGAAACTACCGTCCCATTTCCCTCACCAGCATATGCTCCAAGATTATGGAACACGTCATCTACTCTCAAGTTGCTCATTTCCTAAGCTCGGTGAACTTCTTTCATCCAAATCAACATGGTTTCAGGAAGGGTCACTCCTGCGAATCTTAACTTTATCTGTTCACTCATGGCATTCAGTTAAACTTAAACAGTAACATTCCCACCGATGCTCTATTCTTAGATTTTGAAAAAGCTTTCGATAAGGTTCCTCATTATCGTCTTTTGTTGAAATTGTCGCGCCTAAACATTCGTCCGCTTGTTCGCAATTGGATTGAGAGTTTCTGAACCGACCGGAAACAGTTCGTATACGCTAACAACTACACATCATCCACTTCACCCGTTCTGTCTGGCGTGCCCCAAGGCACTGTTCTAGGACCGCTCCTCTTCCTAATCTACATCAATGACCTGCCATCTACTGTAACCTCTGAAATACGTCTTTTTGCAGATGAATGCGTCGTGTGCCGCCTTATCAATAACTCCTCCGACATTTGTACTCTTCAGGAAGACCTCCTCCGTATTCAAGACTGGTGTACCAAATGGCTCATGTCACTGAACACCAGTAAGACCGTGAACATTTCATTCAATCGTCGACCCAACGATGTATTCTCCGTGCATAACATTAATAACAGCATTATAGCTAATGTGCATTCCTTCAAGTACCTAGGACTTCACTTGTCTCAAGACTTATCTTGGACAGATCATATAACCCACATTATCAATTCAGCGAACAAAATGCTTGGTTATCTTCGCCGAAACCTTTTCATGGCACAGCCACATGTAATATTACTTGCATACATAACGCTCGTGCGACCTAAACTTGAATCATATTCTCTGATATCTTTGACCTCCACCAATCTAGTCTCACTAAAGCTCTCCAGTCAGTCCAGAATCGTTCTGCCAGATTTATCCTTACTGAGTATTCGTATCACGCAAGCGTTTCTTCTCTAACGTCTAAGCTGGAGCTGGTGCCCCTTTCCTCTCGTCGCCGCATCTCACGCCTTTGCCTCTACAACAGATTCTTTCACACGATGCCTCGTGACAGTCGGTTGGTTCAACTGACTCATCGTACATCCAGAACAAGCCACCTGAACGCAGTAATTCCAGCCCGTACCCGCACCACTACATCCCATCAGTCGTTCTTCGTCAGAACTGCCCGAGACTGGAATGGCCTTCCAAAAGATGTTGCACTTGTTCGTGATGCAGCGCGCTTCCGATACACTATCGAACATACATGAATCGATGCCTTTGGACTTGCCTTTGTGAAATGGATTGTCTTATTTTATTGCCGCCATTTGTATCTAGATTTTGTGCTTTAGTTTTATTGATGTTTATTGTTTTCTCTTTAGTTATGATGCCCACTCCTCATGTATTGTCCCTCGGGACCCTTGAGGTACCAATAAATAAAAAATAAATAAATAAATAAATAAATAAAAATGTATTGTTGGGACGAGCTTCATGCTTGCTATCACTCAAGACACTCTAATGAAGTTTAATGACACAATATAAAAGCTTGTAGCTCCCACGTTTGAAAGATACCTATTGCAAAGGATGTGGCAATAATTGATTAAAATAGCAAATATTGTAATATTTTGCTTAGCACTGAAAGTTTCCGAAACAATTCGGATTAGTATGTATTTTTGGATCTTCTATGCGTAGCTTTTCGTTGAGCTGGTCGATTTCGGAGATGTATTCAGAGAGTGAGACATTTTAAAGCCATTGCCCACTGAATGCAGCACACAAAAGTATTCGAAAAGAAACAATGCGCAAATATCAAAGATTTAGGTGTTTCATGAGATGCATGGTGTCTCTGAGTTCCCCGAGGCTATGTAAACTAACGTTACTAGAATTGGTGTGAATAACATTTACGCAGCTCTCTAGCATACGATGGGACTGAAAAATGACTTTCCTAAACGCTGAAATTCCATTCCAGTCCAAATACTAGGTTAAGAAAAAAATCCAACACTTTTCTCTGTCAGTTTACTTGACAATAGACACAATCACGTCTTCCTCAATAGTCACTCAGCCTTCGTGGCTCTTAAGGACGTAATATCGAAGCTTGCGCGAACCGCCGTAGGACCGTGCGTCACAGTAGTGTATTTCCGCGTCGGAAATTTCAGCCCGCTAGTCGGAACAAAAAGAAATGTTCTCTCGCTCGCATCGCCCGATGTTTAATATGCAAGCAATGAAGTACAAAAGCATACAAATACTCTACAATGTACGCACCTTGGTGCTAGCTCGTCATAAACGAAAATTCTAATTCGCAGCAATATGGCCTGTGCATTTACAGTGAAAATAAAATGAAACTCAAGTATAAGGTTGAAAACAATTGGTACACCAAACGCCAGGCGCTGACAGGAGGAGTGATGTAGTTAAGTATATCGGTATATTGTAGAGTTTGGTGTAGACATACACGAAAAATCGCAGTCTGAAATATTCGTAATGTTACATTTTATCTGTGCAGTTTTAAAAAGTAAGTGCTTGCTTTCAAACCACACCTGAAATATTTTTCTTAAATGTGTACGCAACGTAAACTTCATCGTCTCTTGTCTTAGGTGGTGCCTCCTAATTAATGAGGAATATTGAAAAAGATAGATTGCGGCAGTAATCACCCACTTTCTCCTTAGTGGCTAAGCTACAAATATATTTTATCGTAGCTGATTTATTGCTGCCATTCAACAATACCTGTGAGCATGGGTGTGCGCAGGGTTCGGCTACAATGAAGGGGAGGAGGCAAAAGCTTGTTGCACCATCACTCTCCCTCCTATGTTAATGTATGATCATGAGGGTGGCCTTGCACCACTCTTGCTCTCCCTTCCGGACCTCTCTAGTGCGCCCACCTATGGTTCTAAGTTAGTTTGTTTGGGAAGACTTCAAAGAAACAATTGCGTGCATTGCGGTACCTGGTGTTCGAACGGCCATGTGGTTTTTATGACGTTGATCAAACGTGCCAATCATAGGGCTTGCCACCCTGCAGTAAATAAAAAAAAGCAATTTTATATTTTTTGTGTGTGCTCCAATTCGAATATTGCGTTACTTTTTTGAACCGTTGTAGAAATATTGCATGAAGGCAACTGTCTTCTTGTTAATTGTTTGCACGACTTGTACCTCACATTCCGCCTTGCCGCCACTGGTTGTGAAGAACGTCCATATGGGAAGTTTGGTCTGTAAAAACTGAAAGAAATAACCCTGCATATAGTCACTGGAGGCCGGATATATAGGCACTAAGAATTAAAAACCGGCTTTGTGGCGCCAAAAATAGGTAGACAAAATGGACTTTCAAGCTCCTGAAATCACGAATATGGGCACAATAAACTGTAACCGAAACTGAAATTCTTGAAGAAATAGGGGCAAAAGTATATTTTGCACAAATGAACGTTGCCCACGCGAACTGGATGATTCATATCACTGTGTAGTATCAGCGTATAATATGACAAGATAATTTTCTCATATTCTTACTCGCATGACTGCGGACAACATGGAATGCGTTTAGATATACTAGGCGTGTGTTTATTGTAGCACAAAGAGGAAAAAATAGTAAGTGGTCACAGATCGTGCAGGGAAGCGAAACAACAACATAGATAAACTGTTCACCTTTTATGAAAGCAAGTTCACAGATATTACGAATATATTTGCGATATAAATATCGGCTTAATAGAACGGAAGTCGAGTTCATTACCACCAGTTCACGAGCTGTGGCTAGCACGAGCTGTCATCAAGGAGGTCATCACGAGCTGTCATCAAAGTAACGAATAAGTTACTTTGGGATACCGCATTCACTGTAGTTAGCGCCGAGACTGAGGTTCATACTGAAGACTACACCATAGGTCTTCACTCCGTCCTTGTCCAACATCAGGAATGCATCGCGCGAGTGATCACCTATGCCATTCTATCCCTCGTTCTAATATAACTAATTTAATGAGAGGAACGAGTGCCTAGCAGTAGTATGTATCCCCATGAAATATACTTCTTACCGTTGTGGTAGTAACAGCTTACGAGGTATGTTAATTAAAAAAGTATGCCACCTTATTATCTGTCCTTCTGAACACCTAACGGATATGGCACAAGTGCGCTTGCATCAAAAGATCTTGAACGTTCGTGTGCATGTGCGAACTTTTGTCACTTGCCGATATTGTCAGCACCTAGGACGTGGTGTTTAAATGAGATAGTACACAGTGCTCTTGTCATTTTTTTTATTTCGAGGAAAATGTTGGAGTAACTGAAACAGTGCCAATGCATAAAGATTTGCCAGAAAGTGGGCAACAGCCAGGTGGAAACGATTCAGAAGCTTCAGATGGCTTTCGGTAACGAAGGTAAAATCAGCACACAAATTAAGGAGTGGTAGAATCGTTTTAAAGACAGCCGCACATCACCGGAGAGCAAGCCACGCTCCCGCCGGCCATCAACATGCCTAAATCACCAGGTCATTGTCGCTGTGAACGCTGTGGTGATGCATAAGAGACCACCATGGGAATACCCGAGAGACTGCGGAAATTTTTCTGCAGATGTCATCATAACAGATGATTTCATTATATTTAGAGTTGCGGTTAAACTCGGGCCGATGCTTGTCACGTTCGCCCAAAAGCAACTTCGTGTTGAAGTTTCGCAGGATATGCTGGATTCCGCAAACAGTGGCCCCAACTTCATTATCACTAGTGACGAGTCTCGGAAGTGCGTGTACGAGCAGGAAACCAAATAGCAGTCGTCGCAGAAGCAGCATTCACGTCACCAAGACCAAAGAAGGCCCGCGAAGTGCGCAGAAATGTCAAAGTGGCGCTCGTTGATTTCTTTGATTCCCACGGAGAGGTACACTTCGAATATGCTATGCAGCATCGAAAACTCGCAAAAAATGCCATAGGGATGTCCTCTATCACCTACATGATGCTTTGCGGCGCAAAAAATGGAGTTGTGGTAGCTGTGCGGCGCGAAAGACCGGAGTTGGGGTCAACAAGAAATCAATGCATCTTTTACAAGAATGCTCTTTCACATTCTGTACATTCGTCCTTGATTTAGACATTTTTTTGGGCAAAAACCAAGCTGCTGTAGCTCAACAGGCTCTTTACTCTCCTGATATGGGCCCATACAACTTTTTGCTGTTTCCGAAAACCAAGAGGTGATTTAAGAGAGTGCAATGTGAGACAAGAGAGGACACTATGGCTGTAACGACAACTGAACTCCGTTCTGAAAGGAGCGTTTCGGAATGCTTCCAACAATGGCTGGAACGCTGAGAGAAGTGTATGGTGTATGAAGAAGAATATTTTCGAACACTCCAGTTATGCCAGCTTCAGTCTTCGACCAAAAATTGAATAATTATCTAACAGACCTCGTAGTTCGTACTGATCCTTATTGGGTGTGATGATTAAACAGTTATCGAGGTCTATCTGGGCGGCTCGCAGCAAGGAGATGCCGGCTGCAAAACACAGTGGTGACTTCGTTTAGGAATCCGGCGCAAGAAAGAATATGATGATTCGTTGTCCCGTTCACCAAACAAAACGTGTCTCCAGCTGTTGAAAAGCACAACAGCTTCTTTGGGGTCTTCACTGCAACAGACGTGACCACACGAGTACGCGAGAACGCCAACATTTTCACAGTCATTGAAAATTTAGCTGGATGCAACACGCCTGTATTTCGACACATTTATCCAGTCTCTTAGATTGCTTGCAAAGTTGTATTGTATGCAGGAGATAGTTGACTACATTGTTTTGCCAATGATGACAACCCCCCATCTGTTCAGATTAGCTGTTAACGAACCGTCACCAGAGATTAAGAGGTGTTGTAATGGCCCCACCCTGCTGCATGGCTAAAGTCCCATGTAAAATGGTAAACGCCCTGAGCCATAGACGACGGCTTTTATTGTGAACATTCAGTTGGGGTGGCTATTCCGCTAGGGCAAGCTCTGCTCGTCGAAGTATGTTTGGGGATAATTAAGGAAGAGGAACTCTGCTTGTCCTAAGCAATTGAGGCGTTGAGGAGATTAGTGGCACCTGGTGACATTAATGTAGGTTGGGTTCCCCACACTGCTTCAGGCACTCGGTGGCCCTCTATACAACTTCTGTACTATCTACGAACAAAGTTTAAGTGATAATGAAGAATGCGTGCCTGTTTGTTGAAACACGAAAGAAGTCACCCTTAAGAAGAACGTAACATTTTTTGAGGCTCAGCAATTGTCTCCGTGTTGAATGGGCTATTTGCAAAAGTTGAAAAAGTTGGCTGCCTTTTCTAACTAATGTCTAGTTAGACTGCTTACAAGTTCAAGTGCTTTTGTTCTGCTTGTGCCTAGTGTAGACGACTGACTGTTCAAATAACTGAAGCGATGGACAGCTTGCTGTACATTGCTTCAGTAGCTTACATGCACGACATTGCTGATACTTATATAGAGATTGCTGGTCGCTTTGACGCATTTTCTTTTAGGCGCCCCTAAATGACATCTGTGCCTTTGCCTACTTAGTGCTTGAGAAGGGGCTGCCGGTGACGTGCTGAAAGTAACATACGTCTGAGTTTGTAAGATTTACTGACCATGTACTGATCTCACTGAATGGCGGAAAATTCTACTGTGGCCACTGCCCTACATTCGTTTGTTATCGTTTGAGAGAACACCGTGACAATGAAGAAAAACTCACGTTGTCCTCTAGCCATGCAGCATGACTAGTGTGGATGACATGAATTTCATGAAGTTGGCCTGATTACCAAAAAAGAAAAAAAAGTTAGTCCTGAAATAATGCGGTGTTTTCGATTACGTAGTGCACGCTGGCATTACCGAGGCACGCGTCCATAATTTTTAGAACCCAAACCAAGCGACCGGCGCAGCTCAACTGACATCTAGTGTGACAAGCTTACAAATGTAGACTAGGGGAAAGTTTCGAATGTTGATTGATTGACTTGTGTGGTTTAACGTCCTAAAACCACCATATGATTATGAGAGACGCCGTAGTGTAAGACTCCGGAAATTTCGACCACCTGGGCTTCTTTAACGTGCACCCAAATCTGAGTACACGGGCCTACAACACTTCCGCCTCCATCGGAAAAGCAGCCGCCACAGCCACGATTTGATCCCTCGACCTGCGCGTCAGCAGCCGAGTACCTCAGCCAATAGACCACCGCGGCGGGGCACCCCTTGAGTAGTTGGGCCGACAGTGTGTTCACACAGCTTCTTTTAGTTTTCTCTAAAAGAAACTTCCTCTCCTTTGTGCTTATTTAAAATGGCTTGCAGCCTTGCCTGTGTGACATGCACACTTAGCACAGGTATTTTTCACATACATTGTATCTAATATTTCAAATAAACATTTATTATAGTTATAGCACAGTTGCGTTATTGCTTGCTCAATCCTTGTCAATCTTATGGCCGCCACATTGTAAAACACTCCAAACAGGAGTTACTCAAAATGCAGCAGTAATAGCAAGTGTTTGTTAAATTTTTCAAATGAACAATGTGAAACATCTTTGCAGCATAGTCTGCACCTTGACCGCTCTGGCAAACAGTCGCGAAGTTAGACACACTTTACATTGTTGCTCTGGGTCATACAAAACGTGGCCTGTTAGACCAGGATAATGTGACGTGTACCCAAAAAAAACTGTCTTCTGAATAGCGCTCATCATTAATACACTTGAGTTTAAATAAAGAACCAAGACTTTTTTGGTTTATTACAGTATCTACATTAGAAAGTAGCCTCAATAGTCACTTGAATTAATCCTGTTACTCTCTTTTCATCTTTCAATAACACCAGCTTCTTTTCTGATGGCTTTGAGAACTCAGAACATTGATAATAAAATTGCTCTCGTAGCAGTGTGTTCGTAAGCATGTTTACAGCTTCACAGGGTTCTGTGATGCAGTTGTCACTGCAGTTCTCTATGCCCCTGTTTGCACTTCGGTTTTAATTGTTTGTAATATGCTCAGCACTAACGAGACAAGCGAAAAGGTTTGTTCTTTTATGCCGTCACACAACTCCTAAGCGTGCAGTCTCATTTCGTATAATTACTTTCAAAAACGTTTTCAGTGTAATATAGTCGATTTATGCGGCATATTTTCGTCATTCACAGCAAAAGGCATTTGTACTTCTGTGGATTCTTAATGGTTGTAGTGCGCTCTTGTAAGCTTCAATAGTTTCCAAGTCTTGAAATGTGCTGCTAACATTTTGACTGGTGGAATAACTTTGTTTATTATCCAATTTATTGCTCCATTGGTTCTATTCGTGTTGTGTTTTTGCAGAAATGGGTGCACTGTGTGCATTTTTGTTGTGGAGGTTAATTTCTAGCGGAGTCTGTCGCCTTTGGGGAGTTAATTAGGTCTCAAAATAAGTGTAAGTTCGAACTATATAAATTAAAAGATCAAATATATGTGAAAACAGTAAGGGAAACGAAAAATGTTAGTATCATAAAGTATTATTGCAAACAGCTTCTGATTGACAAGGTGACATTATGGTTTTCCGTGAAAACTGGGAGACGAAAGAGTACGAAAGGTGCAAGCAAAAAAGATCAGCCTCAGCTTTCTGTGTATTGAGCTGATAATTTGTTTTTTAAGTTCCTACATTAAGTATTGCTTCAGATTGAATAAATAATTTTTTATGTTTTCTCAACATATGAGCACGAGTTGAGGGCTTGCATTCGTTAGGCATCGTTGCCTTCATGAACACGCTGCCAATATTATTGCAGGAGTCTGACTGCTACTATGTGATGGCAGCATTGATGCCTTCAGTTTACATCATAACAGTAGGGCTAGCGTACCACAATTTTTTTAGATGGTTGCTTATTCTGTGCTTTTCTTTTTGTTTTTCGGTCACATTTTGAAAAGTCATTTGGTTTCACAAGTATTTTGAAGGTATCACATGAAGTTAATTGTATTCCGACGTATGCCAGCGTGACAGTCAGATAGTTTAACAAATGTGAAAGCTTTCACATATTGAGGCATGAACCTGCAGAATATGCTCTGTAATAATGAAACATGTGATGGGTTAAAGGAACACAAATGACCCAGAAATATGGTGGTTATGTAAGACAGTCCCGTGATAAAGAGAATCACTACCTGCAAATGAAAAATGTTCAGTACTCTCTTATCAAGGGTTATTCGGTTTATAGTGTTAAAACTGAAATTTCAGACAAGCAAAAAATTATGTTTTGGGACTGCTTTACTAATCTTTACCTAAGGGCACTTTCTCCGCTAGCCATAATTTTCTTTTTTTTTTAAGTTGCCCCACTGTGCATGTTGATGACTGTTACAACTGCAAAACATGGTGCATTTCTTGACGGGGTATTCATGTTTATGCTAGGTGTAATGAACTCTACGAGTCGTAAGCTAATAAACTACATGGTAATTGTCTATGCATGGATTAAAAATTAATATGACTTACAATTCTTTTCAAACAAACGATATTAGAGATGTTTTGAAAGCAGGAATATATGTGACAGTGACTTCATAGTTGTATTATGTGGCCACAAAGTGACAAACAGAACATCCAGCTGAGATATTTTTGTACTGTTTGCTTCGTGTAGTCATTTTCATTGTGAGCTAGAGAGAGGCAGCACATGTGAAAATGGACACAAGTCAAGGACAACTGAAGAGAGCAAAATTAGGACGCTGACACAATTGCGCTAAATCACCGAAGACGCAAGTTACCTTTCTTTCGTTTTACTTGTCATGAGCTTGAACTTCCTACTATATTTATATTGCATGTGTGGCGTCTGGTATTCAATCAGGGTGTGCTGAATATACGAACAAGATAAGTCGCAAGTGTTCAATCTAAGGATACACACTATAAAATACATATGGGAGAAATGTTTAAGCACTTGTCTTCATACTCACCAAGGTAACCCATAATAGTTTGTCAATTCAATTTTTTGATAGACCAAAGATATTTGCAGAGTTGTCTTCCCAAGTTTACATTTGCTTTTTACATTTTCTTCTTCATTCTTCCTCTTAGCTCTTTATGTAAACAAGAGGCACTTATGACACACCGTTTATTGTTCATACATGAAAGTTGGTGCTTTGTGAATTAAAACATAAGAGCTGTGTGATTGGAAGCTAGACACACAGTTACCGACTAGAGGTGGTATTCTGACAGCCGTTGGGCTCTTGACCATGTCTGGTAATTTGAACCCTAGTCGTGAACACTTTGAGTGAATGTGCTTTCTCATATAGTGAACTGTGCATTGTAGTCAGCTGTCAATAAGCGTCAGCCATGCACTCAGGTAGTGTGTGTATGACTGCATTTCAGCAGGCTGCAGGTAATAATATTGCTATCAACAGAAAAGCACAAGCATTAAGCTATTTGCTGTGGTTGTATAATGACACAGAATACAGGAGGCTATACAGTATTAGCAGAACAACTAGGTTGACGAAATCAAGCTTCATCAATTTATAATTACCGCAACAGCACGACGCAAAGGTCGAGCTTCACGCTTAAAAGCGACAAAGGCGTTCTTGAAGTTTCTGCGAGCGACCCACATCGTTGAACAATTGCAACATTCTCGTGTGTGTGCGTTTCCGCTTCCCCGTTTCTCTTTCATCCTCTCTTCCTTACTTCACTGTCTCCTTTTCCTCTTGCCCAGTGAAAGGCACCAAAGCGAAATTCCGGTTAAACTCCCTGCCTCTCCGGATACCTTATTTCCCTCTCCACGATGAAAAAGGTGCCACAGTATTGTTCATTTGATGGGTGTTTTGCAACGTTGGCTGCATTACTGCACGATGCTACAATGAACAGTAAAAAGGCCATAAGTAATAACAACCCAGTCATGTGTTTATTTTATTACTGATCATTAGAATATAGTGCTTGACCTTATACAAACTATACCTGACTTTGTACACGGCAATGAAACTTTTCCCTTGGAAGTCTGACAGCATGTCATCGTCAGTGCCATGGAATGCTAAATGATTCTTGGAGGTGGTGCAGCTTCCTTTGCTGTATACGCTAACAATTCTCAGTCAGTGAAGAACAAAGCCAGGTGTTCATTAATTAAAAATACAAAACACTTTAGATCTTGAATCATTATCCGTCATCAAGTTTATGGAGCCCGACCAGCAGGGGCGTGCGCGGCTTATTAACTCCGAATGAAATGTGCTATGTTCAATATTGTGCGATGCAGTATGCCACACGATAAATTTGGGCAACGTTGACAGGTCTGACTCTGAGTGAATTCCTCGAATCGCTGATGCCGTCTATGACAAGAATAGTAGAATTGAACTTAACTAGCGAAAACACCGAAGAAAGACCATTCGCAACTCTTTCCTCTAAAACTGCTTGGTGTGATGTAGGAGCGGCAACTAAAGCGGCACTTCACATGAGCGAATTGCTCGCTCACATTTTATTCGCTTAGTATATAATGCATGTGCCTTGTTTTGTGCATAAACATTAAGGAGCGCGCATTTAATGAACGCCTTATGCAACTGAAGTCCACAAGTTTTGACGAAAAATGCGTTACCTTTGCCATGTTGTATTTTTTGAGTCCAAAAATTTCGAGTTTACATTCGAATGCTGTGATGTAGACAGTGACCAGAAGCGCTGCACAAAACTGCTTCCCTCGCATGCTGCTGACTGAATCATTCTTTTTGTACGTACACCTGTGCTAAAACTGAAGCAGGTGTTCTGAAGATAACAATATGCCATTTGTAAAAAAAAGCGAACACCGGGAAAATCTCAATACGGAGAACAGTTCACAGCATCTTTCAAAAAATGCTCAGCGTCCTTACATTGTTATTGCCGATTGTTCAGGATAACATATTCCTGAGAAGAAATTCTCTGGGAAATGTCGAGGCAGTCATTCTGTAGTACGCTTAGAACATTGAAGCTGTTTTAGCTGAGTGTCGAATTGAGTTACCCAAAAGTACTTGTAGTTCTTGTTGACCTTGACTAGTAGTTCATACCCACTGTGGGGGATCAGCCAATCATTGAGTGGTCTTATAAAGTATTATTTGATTTTAAAATAAAGGAACCTAAAAGTGAGAGCCCCGCCGCGGTGGTCTAGTGGCTAAGGTACTCGGCTACTGACCCGCAGTGCGCGGGTTGGAATCCCGGCTGCGGCGGCTGCATTTTCGATGGAGGCGGAAATGTTGTAGGCCCGTGTGCTCAGATTTGGGTGCACGTTAAAGAACCCCAGGTGGTCGAAAGTTCCGGAGCCCTCCACTACGGCTTCTCTCATAATCATATGGTGGTTTTGGGACGTTAAACCTCACATATCAATCTAAAAGTGAGAACGTTACAAACTTTAGAACGAAATTCGGATGAACACTGATCTGTACCTGCAATAAAGTTTTTGTATTAGTAATAGATAGTAAGCTAGATTAAAACCTAACTTTAAAAAAGAGAAGTTACGCGTATGTCGTCACAGAAGAATAATAAGATTTGTTTGTTAGTCTTTTGGTTTCATTCAGATAATTCCGTATGGCCTCGCAAACTTTCGTACTGACAAACACAGAAGTAGAAGCTCGTAAGGACAGAATCATGGGCATGGATAAATTCATTTCAATAGCATGTAAAACGTTTTTTAACTTGGATCTACGAGCTGTAGTAAATCCCCTACATGTCAAAAAATTATTATCCATAGTTTCTGGCTCGCCACAGAGTGGGCCCATTGTAGAAAAATCGCGACCGGACCTGTGTTGGTAGAAATTTAGTTTCGGCACCCAACAGCGCAGCCACGTAATTGTGACTTCTAGTTTACGTGTGTCACAAGAACATCGGCACCATAGATATCATAAGTGCTGATATTTTGTCGAATTATTGAGTGATGTACCTGTGGAGCTTTGTATAATGGTGCGCCTGCAAAATCAGGCAGCTGTTACATAAGTGAATGACTGAAAAAAATTTTCAAATCGGCCTACTTATCGATGATTTCGCTAAAGAATTCGTCCTCTCATTTGAAAGCAACTCTTTATAACCCGGCACCCAAACTAATCTAACGTTCCTGAAATGGGGGGGGGGGGGTTAATAATGCACGAAACGCTTTTATTATGAGCGATTCAGCACCAACAGAAAGTGCATCACAAAGAGGCAGAGATTGTGTAATTATAACAGCCGATGCAATTTTCGCGTTTAATTTGCGTGAGGCGATTAGCACTGCCAGAAATTCGGCCACAAAAATGGGTATGAATTCAGGTTGTCGAAGTGAATATACAAACAGTTAAATTTTCGTCACACTGTGATGCATCTGTAGTAATAATTACACTTGCTTTGATGCTCTGCTAGCGTTCTTACAATAGACCCGCCGCGATGGTCTAGTGGCTAAGGTACTCGGCGGCTGACCCGCAGGTCACGGGTTTGAATCCCAGCTGCGGCGGCTGCATTTCCGATGGAGGCGGAAATGTTGTAGGCCCGTGTGCTCAGATTTGGGTGCACGTTAAAGAACCTCAGGTGGTCGAAATTTCTGGAGCCCTCCACTACGGCGTCTCTGATAATCATATGGGGGTTTTGGGACGTTAAACCCACATATAAATCAATCAATCAATCAATCGTTCTTACAATAAATCATCTACAGTGTGATGGGGGAGTAACTTTGCATTATTAGGGAAAAATGTCAAAGTGAATATCCATATGGGGTGAATTATCAGTACTCGACCTAATCTCGCAGATACGTATATTCGCGTGTCCAGTGAACGTTGTACAAATATAATTTATGGGCTGTGAAATCGCGGTAATATACACCTAAAAGACCATTCCGGAGAGGATGGATAGATATGTGGGGTTTAACGTCGCAAAACCACGATGTGATTATGAGAGAGAAACGAGAAAGAAGGAAGGCAGGGAGGTTAAGCCAGATGCTAGTATCCAGTATGCTACCCTACAAAAAAATTATGAGAGACCACGTAGAGACGACGTATGATTATGAGAGACGGCGTAGTGTAGGGCTCCGGAAATTCTGACCACCTTTGGTTATTTAACCTGCGCCCAAATTTGCGCGCATGGGCCTACAGAATTTCCGCCTCCATCGGAAATGCAGCTGCCGCATCCGGGACTCGATCCCTCGACCTGCGGGTCAGCAGCTGAGTACCTTAGCCAGTAGACCACCGCGCTGGGGCACGATATGAATATTGTCTCCAACTGCTGGATTGGTGACTCATAACTTCCTAAAAAACGTCGGAACACTCAACATACAAAACATGCACGAAAGAGAAGGAACTCTTGATTCTAGAACACTCAACATACAAAACATGCACGAAAGAGAAGGAACTGTTGATTCTAGGTATAAAACGCAGTTAGACACTGTTTTAAGTAGGCCAAGGCATGAACGTTACGATTCTACATTTGAAGGAATGACAGACCGGATTTCGTAGGCTTGAGCACCAGAGAAAAGCGTGCATCCGAATTCCAGAATAGAATGAACATACATTCGATATATCATTACTAAGGGATCTCTTCTCATGACTATTCGGTAGTTTCTTAACCTACGTAACATGTGTGACAAGTTTAATCCTCATAAACCGGCAGCCACTCTTTTTCGTCATCTTCTGCTTAGCTCCAAAACACGTGCACTGATTTGTCTGGCGTGGCTTGTAGCGAACATTATGAGAGAGACCACGAGAACAGAAAAAAAGAAAGAAGCATAGAGGCAGAGAGAAATGAAAAAAGAGAAAAATGCACCCCAAAAAGAACTTGTCATGAACCTGTAATTGGAGGCCACCCATTTACGATTCGATGGTGAACGTTCTGACCACTCGGCTTTCCAGACATGCTAGCAGAGCATTGAACAAGACATTATAGTATATTGTAGCAAGGTGGTGATGAATCATGTCAGCGCAAGTAGGAGGGTTGAACAGGTGAGAAAGAGAGCACGGAAGAGGGTAGAGAGTAAAGCGCAGCACATGAAAATGAGAAAGAGAGAAATTGAGTAGTAAAAGCAGAAAGGCAAAGAAAGATGAATCTTTATGTATAATTTATTCTTTAGAAATACTGTCAACCCTCTGATGAGGGTCATTACAGGAAATTACAGGAAAGGTACGACACACTGTACAAACAAATTAGGGACATAACTATACAGCTCGCATGATAAACCAGGTATTCAAATGCACAAATCCGCGAAAGATCTGCATTCCGAACTAAAAACGAAAACACACACCCTGATTGCAATGCAACAAATAACAATCACAATAATCTTTACAATAATATTTGACAACAATCTTTACAATACACTTTCTGACCCTTAGTTTCCCACCCCTGTACAGGGTAGCAAACAAGTTCTTCTACGTTAACCTCCCTGTCTCTTTCGTTTATTCATTTCTCTCTCTTCTTCTCGATTTAATTCTGTCATAGAGCCTTTATTATTAAAGAGGAGCCGCATGATTGACAGACATTTTGAGCCACCTAATTCGACAAAGGCTGTTTTCCGAGAAGCAGCAATCAATGTGGAGTGTTGTAGAGACTTGCAACCCTGATCCGGAATGACTTGGACTTCTGGATATGTGTGTTTGTTTGCCATACTTGTGAAGGTTCCTTAGACTGGCCCCGGCGTGGTGGACTAGGGGCTAGGTACTCGGCTGCTGACCCACAGGTCGCGGGATTGAATCCCGGCTGCGGCAGCTGCATTTCCGATGGAGGCGGAAATGTAGGCCCGTGTGCTCAGATTCGGGTGCATGTTGAATAACCCTAGTTGGTCGAAATTTCCGGAGCCCTCCATTACGGCGTCTCTCATAATCATACGGTGGTTTTGGAACATTAACGACCACATATCAATCAGTCAAGTAATACAATATCTGATAACCTTTGATTGCATTATACTTCCATGTATGAAGAAAAAAAATCAGAGGCTTGGCCGAGTGGTAGAACATCCGCTTGCCACGCAAACTGTCCGACTTCGATCCCCACTCGGACCTAAACAACCCTGGTTCGCTCCTCACGCTCCTCCAGTATTTCTTATGATCATTTATTTTATTTTCATTAATCTTGAATTTTTGGTTAATGCATAGGATGACGATTTTTTGCTGACAAACAACGACGCCAACGGCGGCATTTCTGCGAAAGAAGCTCTCTAACGCCACCACGTTAAAATTGCGAGAACTTGCTAGAAGTCTGCCTCGGTCTCCCCATTTCGGACTCAGATATAATAAACTGGTTGTAAACAAGGCAGGGCATGTGGTGAACGCCGATATAAACTGCATGCAAGTTTTCACCCACCCGGCCAATGGTGGTCGCTTACGTATAGCACAGCTGCTACAGTATTAAGCCTTGCCAGAGATTGAAATCGCGCTTCAGCGCTTGGCGAGTTGGCATGATGCATTGTAACCTCATGCCAGGGCATAGGCCTTGGTTTCAAACGCTGGGGAGCATAATGAACAAGCGTGATTGATTATATTCTTTAATAGATGCGGCTTCCGCTGATATAATCGAGCAGCCAAACTTGGCTGAGCACATGGTGCACGAAACGATGGCATGTTTCATGTCTCGTGTCGTTCTGTTATTTACCGCCTTGATCGCATTGACCATCACTAGAAATGTTTTCTAGCCATATCTAAGAATTTCAAGCCATTACAAATTAATGTCGAGACAGACATAAAATCTGCATGGGAATGCATGCAGAAGCAAAAAAAATCTCAGGTGTTTGCTGTCTGTC